TTTTCAGAGTTGACAAGACTACTTCACATAAGTAGTTTAAAAATGCACAAGTACATTTAGGGCCATTTAAAGTGATTAAAAATTCCTTCTTAATCCCAAGCCAAAATTCATTTGACTCTCTCTTTTAAATTAGATTCAAGTAAGCAATTCAAACATCAGTTTTTAAAATGAAATGTTCCAACACAATGCATGGCAAAGATATACTAATTCAATACTTACATGATGAGGAATGACACTAGGAAAATATTAAATGTCTTTGTTTTCTGGAGTTAAATCATTATGTTTCTGTAAGAGTAGAACACTTCATACAACCCCTAAAAATGCTGCTGTCCATAACACATGTTACTCTCAAATTTAAGCCAAAGTGTTTCAGGCAGCACTGTGTGATATGATGGCATGCCCAGGGCAAAATGTACGTGTGTTCAGAACCAAGGCTGCAAGGAAATCACATAATGCAAGGCAGGCTAATGCTGCCACAAGTACCTCAGATTCATTACCTATTTGATTCTGATTTAAGTGTTGGTGGTTCAACCTTTGATTGTTGCCAAATTTTTTGTGACATCTAACCCACATTCAGCTACAAGACTCCTCGTGGGGTCAAGATCCAATATGTTAAATGAAATCAGAATGAAGGACTGAATCAAAATGATGTGGGAAGAATATATGGGCAAGATAGTGAAATAGAGGAAATAGAGTTTACACTGAGGAATGTAATTGCATGTCAGAAGGGAGAACTACCTGCTCCTTCAATAAACAGTAAACATCAGTCCTGCCAAATGCTGTAAGCATACAAAAATGGAGCCAATATGGATCCTCTGCTTGTGAAAGATAGAATAGTCTAACAAGGATGATTTAGCAAGTGCACAGTGCAAGTTTCTTATAAAGATGGCTTTTGAGGTTGACCATCAGAATAAACACAGCAAACAATAGCCAAAACATGTAAGACATTTGCATTTTTTTAGACAAAAGGTCTTGAGATGGAGGCAACTTGATGGGGACAGGATCTGATACATTCATAATTCAGAAGTGTGTTCATTAATTATAAAGAGGAGAACTCTAACACAGAAAGGCCAGTCAGCAGTCTGTTGCAGTAAGCTAGAAAAGAGGCAAAGGGCTAAGAGCTCAAATCAGAGAATAGTTTAGGAAATCTGGCAGTGCACTTAAACTTCATCTTGAACACTCCCTCACTGACTGCTTTCCCCTACAATCTGTTCTTAGAAATACAATGTAGAATTTACTTATATCATTTGTTCTAGGAAATTGACTGTTAGGTGCTCAAACTTCAGAACATTTCTGAAGTTCTTAGAACTATCAGAGATCCAAACCTGCAGGAAGACAGTCTGAGAACAGTTACTCATAATGAAGTCCTCACAGTCACAGAAAAATGTCATGTATGGTTTCAGAGAGAACTCAACTAAATAACCAAACTAGCAGCATCAAGAGGATTCAGCTTCACTATGGGTATTAGGACTCAGCTATTTGTTAATATAGTAGATGCTGTAATGGGGGTCACTCAGTTCCAAACAAAACAGATAAGATACATTAAGTCAGTTCAACCTTAATGGAACATGTAAAATTACAAAAAGCTAACAGAAAAAAATGATCATGAGGAGAATATATTCAGCAATATGGAAAGACCTTTGCAAAATATTTAATGTCTTTAGAACATATGTATAAGTATATGCAAACATAGTATTAAATCTTGTTGTTCTTTTTATAATTAATTTATTTTATCGTATGTGTGTTTTGTCTATGTATATGTAAGTGCACCATGTGCAAGCAATGCCCATGGGGGCCAGAAGAGGGCATCAGATTCCCTGGAACTGAAATTATGGACGGTTGTGAGCCTCTGTGTGGGTTCTGGGAACAAAACCCAGGTCCTCTAAAAGAGCAGCCAGTGTTCTTAACCACCGAGTCATCTTTCCAGCCCCAATTTGTTATTCTTAAATTATTTTCAAAAAAATATTCTGAAAAATAAACCATGAAATATGTGTAAGCTTTCCTCATCAAAATGAAAGTTTTAGTGTTTTCATAAAAATTCCACATATGTAAAAGTTTCAAGACAGTCATAAGTGTAAATATGAGAAAAATACACAAAATCTCAATGGTGGTACATATCTACTACTACTACTTTGATATTCAAGACATTTTCCTGTACAAGCTGCATGCATCATCCATAGACAAGCACACATAACTTTCCTTAAGTGAAATCCAATACATGCTATTATCTTGTTTCTCAAAAATATATCCACATTTAATTTGAAATATTACTGGGTTCAAAAACACATCATTTAAAACACCCAAAACTATTATAGTATATAAGTATGCAATGTTTTATTTAAATGTTCCTCTATTAACAAGTGTTTAAATTCTTAAGTTATATTTTATTTTGCTTTTTGTTTGATTTGTTTTTATTTTGCCTTTTGTATTTTGTTCCATTTTTAGCTTGAGTAGGGGAGTTTTTGATGCAATCGATACATATTATTATCACCTTTATCACATGTTAAATTCCCCCTTTCCTTTTACATGTCCTCTATTCTCTTCCACAGATTTTCCTACATCATTACCAAATTATATTTAGAGTACTGTGGCTTGATAATAGAGTTAATATTTTTGTTATTTCTCTTTAATTTTATCCAATATATGATTTTCATAGTTAATGTATATATTTGTCCTTCTGTAGAAAAGTTAATGTCTACAACACTTAATATATCATGGGTAGAACCAGAATTCAAACCAAGGTAGCATGACTCCAAATATAAGACTCATACCATTTCCCAGTGGTCACTGTGCAACAGGTGTCTGTAAACCACAGTTAACTGTTTTCTTCAAAATATCCATAAAGACATTTCTATAAAGAAAACAAGGATATACTCTCTCCTACCAGCAGGCCTCTCTCTGGGGTAAGTCCATTGTACCCTCCATGCCTTGACCCCCACCCCCCAGCCTCATTCACCCTCCTATCTCCACCATCCTTCTCTCCTCTGAGTTTGGGCCCTTCCCCATTCCTTATCTTGGGGCCCCAGACACCCAGGGAACCAATAAGGCTTCCTGATCCTTTTCATCCAGCTTAGTGTCTTCTCTGGGCCCCAGGAGCACTGCTTCTGGGCCTGACCCCACCCTTACCTCCCTCTGCTTCTCTGGGCCTGCAGGACCTGCCACAGGCCTCTCCCTTACCCAAAGGCCTCTCTCTGGGGTAAGTCCATTGTGCCCTCCATGCCTTGACTCCCCCAGCCTCATTACCCTCCCATCTCTGCAGCCATTCTCTTCACCGAATTTGGGCCCTGTCCCATTCTTTGTCTTGGGGCCCCAGACACCTGGAGAACCCATACTGTTCCCTGATCCTTTTCATCAAGACCAACATAGTGCCTTCTCTGGGGCCCAGGAGCACTGCTTCTGGGCCTGGCCTCGCCCTCACCTCCCTCTGCTTCCCTGGGCCTGTACCACCCACCAGCCTCTTTCTGGGAAGCTGGGGCTGACCTTTCCTCTTCCTCACCCTTTGCATCCAGACCAACCCAGCTCCTCAGTGCAGTCGCCAGGAGGCCTTGGGGCTTCTTCCCACCTCATCTGCCTTTGCATTGCTAAGTGGTATGGCCAAGAGCTGCCCTAGACCAGCACCTTTCCTGGGCCAGGCTCCCAGGCTAGTCCAACTCCCAAATTCC